TTTTCGATATACGTGTAATATTATTTTATGAAATAATGTGCAATTGAAAATAAGATAAAGGGAAAAAATAGAAGAGAACGGAGGCCAGATGTGGGCATAGTTTATGAAGCCGTTCGTGCATGTTTGTTGTCATAAGCAACAAGATCAAGTATATAAACATTAACATGTCATTTTGTTTTTCATGGTCGATGATTATGGAGTAAATAATCAAATTAATATTTCAAAAAGTTTATATATCATGTTATATTTTGATACGCAGGATAAACAAGACTAGACAAAAAAGAATGTACACAAATTTTTTTCTCAATTCTATTCAATCTAATACACGAAGGCTTTCACTCTTAACCAATCGTAGAACCCCTTTATTACGATTGTTTTGATTGTCGTGAAATTTATCCCCAATAGAATTTGGAATGATTCAATTCAACATTTTATTTGTTCGATTTTGTTTAAGTATCTTTTATAATGAATAAAGTACATATTTCACAAAAATCTATTTTCATTTTTCATGACAATCATGATTGGGTCTCGGTTTCCAAGTATATAATATTTTTACATCACAGCATCTTGTCATACTCGCAACACCAAATTCAGGCGTATTTTTAAATTCTTCTCTAGGTTCTTAGGCCATCTTCAACCGTACACCAAATTTTATATCAAATTTTACATTAAATCTTACACCAAACCAAAATTTTTCTCCAATCATTACACCAAAATTTACACTAAATGAACAGTGCTTTATTATTTTATTCGTTCTTTCGATTTTTGACAATATATTTATTTTAAAATATTATTTATTTATTTATTTTATAACTATATACATTACTAAATCATAACTTCATTAAATTAACAAATATATTGATTACTATATTATCACATGTCATATATATTTTGTTAAATTGACAAAAATAATTGATTATATTATTAATTTATGGTAAACAATTACGTTAAATTTACAAAAATAATAAACTTTAATAATATAAACTTTACACTAAATTAAATTTTAAACGTAAACTTTACGAATTTAACTTTACGTTAAATTAACAATTACGTTAATTATTATTGATTATATTATTAAAAACAATAAACTTTAATAATATAATTAATAGTGTAAGTAATTAAGTAATTATTATTATTATCATCATTATCATTATCATTATTATTATAGAACAAAAATGACACAAATGCCCTTAACCATTATCTTTGAAAAAAGAAAAATAAAGGCAAAATGGACATTGCACCATTTGGTGCAAAATGGTGCAACATGAATAGTGTTGCACCATATTTGGTACAACACTATTCATTACATCATTTTTTGCACCAAAATTTGGTACAATGGTTGGAGGAAGTTTGCACCAAATTTTGGTGCAATTTGGTGCAATGGTGCAATAGTTAGAGATGTCCTTAACTATACTATTTGTGTAATTAACTAGTCAAACACCACGTAGATATTGTCACGTAAATTATTCGAACTTGCTACATAATTCGAGATTTAATCCCGAGTTCAGATCCAAAGTCAAGGTGGTGTGACCTCGGCCTTTGATCTTGCAGCACATGGGGCCCGCGATTTCTAATCAGGGGCCGAGGTCACGCCACATTGGCCCCTATCTCCAAACTCGGGATTTAATCCCAGGACGAGGAGCATTATTCTAAATTATGCCATTAGTTTTGATTAACGAAAGTTAAATTATATATAGATTTTTAAGTTCATTTTGCCCACTTTTGGACTCCATTTAATAGAACTCATTTTTCTAAAATTAAAAAATAATAATAACAATAAATTATTTTTCAGTACATATTTCATGAGATTCAAAACTTTTATTAATTTCTCAATTACACAATTTATTAATTTTTATCAAAATATACTACCAATCTGATTTTAGCTAAACCAAACAAGGCCTTATTATTTCGATACACGAGGTGTAGTTTTCATTTCACATATTTAACCTCTATTTGATCTCTATTTCTAAAATTTATTTACCCTCAAACATATTTTCAACTACATCTTTAATTGGATCGTAATCATCAACTTTTAATTACACATTTCATATATTTTAATTAAAATTCAGTAAAAATTAATTATTATTATTATTATTTTTTTTTGAGGAGTTTACGTGGTACAACTATTAAAAGAATCTCAAGAGACCGGCAAACAAACACACAACTATAAATAAGGGATTTCCTGATAAACCCCCGTTTTCTTGTCTGCGCATTGTTCTGTTCATTGCGGCTAGGGTTTCACCAAACTGCTATTCCTTTATGCCTTTAACATAGATCTGTTTTATTTATCATATAACCATGAATGAAGAGTTCAATTAAGGATTTCTGTTTCTGATATATCTGAAAAGCCTTTGGGTTTTTCTTCTGGTGGCTGAAAAATGGCGACAGCGAACCCATTTGATTTGTTGGGAGACGATGATACGGAGGACATGTCGCAGCTTATGCAAAAAATCGAGCCGAAGAAAGCCCTAACTCCCTCGGCCGCGCCAAAGCATCAGCCGCAAACTAAGCCAGCGGCTGATGCGGCGAATGCTAAGCTTCCCTCAAAGCCTCTTCCCCCGGCTCAGGCTGGTATGTTGAGCTCCTTTCTTCCTTCTGCCTTTTTTCGTTTTTTTCATCTTATTTATCATTTAAAAAGAATGAAAAAATTCAAAGATTTTGATTAATGTGTAAATATCTGATTTCCTGTTTCTGTTGTATGGACATGGATTTTTATGATATATATATATACACACACACACATATATAGTGAACCTTTGCTTAGCTTATGTTAAGCACAAGTGACATGGAACACCGTTTAATTGGTGAAACATAAGCTAAGCACTAGTTTAGGAGATCATTTCTGTATATATATGGCACCGGAGTTAAGCACCCGTGACATGACACACAGATTTATTAGTGAATATGTTAATTGTAGGCCCCCATGAATTTAATGATTCACAATTAATTGGTGTGACATATCGCCGGTGCTTAACATAAGCTAAACACCGTTACCTATTAGATCATTTCTCTCTCTCTCTCTCTCTCTCTCTCTCTATATATATATATATGCGCACACACTAACATGTATGTAAAAATATTCTTAGTGCTAAAATTGTTTTCCTATAAATTTCTGCAAATATTCTCCAATATTGTTCTATTTGAGAGCTATGTAGACTTTCTTATTTGAAGATTATTAACTGTGTTAAATGAATTTTTTTATGACAATGATATTGCTTTATAGTAGCATTTTCCCTGCATTTGTAATCAATTATTAAAGTTTTAGATCTGTTTTGCGCAGCAGCTATCTTGTTATCCAATTCAAGATTGCTACTATCCAACATTATTTATTCTGTGTTTGAGTTACTATATTTAGCCATAATTTGTTGTTACTGATATTATTTCCATATCCCTTGTGGATGACTGGAAAAATTTGGGCTTATAATGTGCTACAGAACGTTTATTTTTTTTCCATGTATAGACAAAATAGCACGTTTGGTAAAGTTTGCAGAGATATTTTGTCTCATATGGATTTCACCCTACATTATATGTACTCTCGGCCACAGAAAATATTTCTTTTTGACTCTCTGCTTTGGGCTTTGTCAAGCCATCAAGTAAATAATGAAGAGGATCATAAGCTTCAACAATTTATGTGTGTAAGAATTGTCACTTTCTGAATATTGTAATTGAGATTTACCTTTCAGACATCACGTACCATTTCCTTATCTATCATCTCCTTTTGTTGGGTTTCCTTGTCATGCCATTTTGTGGAAATGAAACAAAATACTGTCAATACATGAGATGTTTAACCCTTTCAACATATTGCTCTCGGAATATCTGCACTGACCATGTATTCTTGCAACATATATCGTGTTTACTGATTGTAAGCACTATACCCAATGGTAAGAGTTTGATGCGTCAAGTTTCAATGATAGTAAAAAATTCGTACTTTGTTTTTATTGTTAACCTTATTTGGAGAAGGCTTGATATGCTTACTCATGCCATAGCTTTGCTGTTTCTCCCAGCTTATTTGTTCATGGTTATGTTCACACTACTTTATTAGTTCTTGCTTTATAAAATTTAGTTAGTTATATCTTGAAACAACCTTTTTATTATAATTTTTCCAAATTGTAGCAAAATGGGTTTTTTATGTTGCCTACCCATCAACACTTTATTTAGGTTCATATCATCACTTTTTGATATTTTAATGTTGATTCCTTCATTTTTGTGTTTGTTTATTTGAGTAGTCAGAGAAGCAAAATTTGACTCTGCACGAGGAGGCCGTGGTGGACGAGGATATGGGCGCGGGCATACTCGTGGCCGTGGTTACGATAGAGACTCAACCAACAACGAGAATTCGTATGGAAATATGGAAATTTCAGGTGGTCAAGGTGCATCTGGAGAAGCCGATTCCAGAAAGCCTTTTGAAAGGCGTAGTGGCTATGGTGGACCTCGTGGTCCTTATGGAGGTGGTCGCCGAGGTGGCTTCAGCAATGGAGAAGTGGGGGAAGGTGAACAGGAAAGGCGGCGTCAGGTTTTTGATCGCCGTAGTGGCTCTGGGCAGGGGTATACATGCTATATTTTTTTTGTTAACTTATTATCTTTTTTGTCTCTGCAGCCTTAGACTTTTATATTCTGTTGTAAACTCATTCCATTGCAGAAATGAGATAAAACGTGAAGGATCTGGCAGAGGTAATTGGGGAGCTCAGACTGATGAACTGGCTGAGTGAGTATTTCCTTGGTGCCTTTGGCAGTAAGGCCTTAATCAATACAACGGCATATGCTTCTTTCCATCTAATACTGTGGTCCTTCTAACATGGTTTCTTTCTAGAGTTACTGAGGAAGTTGTCAATGAAGGTGAGAAAAATCTGAATGATGAGAAGCCCTCAGGAGAGGAGGATGCAGCACATGGAAACAAGGAAACTTCTGCAATTGAAATTGAAGAGAAGGAACCTGAGGATAAGGTCAAGGTCTTCATATAAATTAATTCATGAGTCCATTCTCTTTTTTTGGTAGTTGTCTGCTTGTTTCTACTACTTCCACAGGCCAATGTTTGATTCTTTTCTTTTATGTTCACTAAATGTCTTGCAAGACGATTTTAATCTTCTTTTGCAAGCTAATTCCAATCGATCATTTAAGTATAACCTGTTCTCTTTCACTTATAACTTGTTCTCTTTCACTTTGTGCCACACATATAGTTCGCATCAGTGATGATGTTTATATGACCCTGAAGATAATTTTGTAGATATTCTCAGAAATTACGATAATCATCTGAGCTGAGTTCAAAAATGCTGATTGCTGGAATAACATAATTTGTTGCTATTCTGTCAGCAGTCTTTCTTACTAACTACTAAATAGTAATCATTTGTCAGAATCCTTTGGTGACACCAATATTGAACTCCTATAGTTTCATATAGCAACTTTGTAGCAATTTGAATTCTGATGTCAGAGACTTCTACATTCTATAGACGTCCTTGTGGCAAGCCAAATTAAATAATATGCCTCCCTGACTGATTATAGTACTTATATTTTATTGCCCCAAACTGGTATTCTTTTTTTCAAGTATAGGAATTGACTTAAAAGAAGCACTGAACTGTTATTCATTGCATTGTTATGTGACATACTACTGAACTGCAGGTTTCATTGATATTATAATTTCTGGCTGCTTCAGTCATCGTATTGCTGCCTACTGGAGTGAAATCTCACATATTCTTTGTTCTGTTTTGCATGAAACTGAAAGAATCACTATTAGCTCACTTTTACTTTCACCATACAAACCTTTTGCAATTTAAATGAGAAACATACCGGACTAAGTGACTACATTACTTTTCATTAAGTGACATGCCAATTGATTCAGTGTCGGCATCTCTGTAGACATTCAGAATAAACATCCCTTGAAATTGCAGGAGATGACTCTTGAAGAGTATGTGAAGATTCTAGAGGAGAGAAGGAAGGCTCTTCAGGATTTTAAAACCGAGCCGAGGAAAGTTGATGTGAAAGAGTTTGTATCTATGCAACAACTTGCAAACAAGAAAACTAATGAGGATGTATTCATCAAATTGGTGAATATACTGGATCTCCTCTCAGAATTCATTTTCATGCTTGTCACTCTTCTACATTCACCTTTGATATGTTCTTCATGATGCAAGTCAATGTAATAAAAATCTTTTGTGTTTATCATTGATTTGATTTTTGCTGTAGGGCTCCTTCAAGGATAAGAAAAAAGAATTGGCCGAGAAGGAAGATAGAGCCAAAAAGGTAACTATTCATGTATATATATTCTCTTCATGGGTTGTATGGGGCAGGTGCCATTGCTGTAAACTTCTCTGTTCTCTCCCTCTCCCTCCCTTGGCAGGCCTGCAAGGAACTGTCAATTCTAGCCTTTTATCTCCATACCTGATTTTGATCAGGCAATTTATGTGTCAACTGATTGACCACATTTTATTTTGGATGTTTTAGTCTGTCAGCATTAACGAGTTCTTGAAGCCTGCTGAGGGTGAGAAATTTTATACTCCTGGTGGCCGCGGTCGTGGACGTGGTCGTGGTTCCAGAGGAGGTTACAATGGAGGTGGTGAGATGAGCAATGTGAAAGCACCTGCCATTGAAGATCCAGGACAGTTCCCTACCTTGGGTGAAAAATGAGATGTTTTCATGCTTTCCTCCTGCCATTT